CACAGAACTCATGGAAGCGGGCGCTGACAAAGCTTTTGGCGTTGTCCGCCACGATGAGCTTGGGTTTCGGAAAGTGCGCCAGCCAGCCATGTACAAGACCTTCAATGATCTCTTCGGAGGATTCTGGCTGCATTGCCAGTTCAGGGTACTCCTTGATGAGCTTAACCGCACGGAGCTTGGTAGCGAGGTCAATGATGAGGATGAAGCGTGCTTTCTTCTGCTGTCTTGGTACAAGCCATTCAGCGGTGTCAAGGCCTATGCATTCCCAGGCACCAGGTAGTGGATGAGTTGCAGCGGGTGGAATCTGTCCTGATGAAGTTCCGCCCAGCTTGAGAGACTTGCAGGTCTCGCATTGGTGTTCTAGAGCTGATTGAACCTTCCAGGCAGGACAGCCTGCGTCACGGACCAATCTGGCCAAGTTGCGAGCTGTAGGATGTCCAGCTGCCTTGTGGAAGTGTGACAGCCGTGCTTGCCACTTTTGAAGCTCCTCCTTCGAAGGACTCAGTGACGAAGAGCTCGAGGATGGTTCCGCTTGTAGGGCAGGTAGTACATGAGGTAGCTCCTCCAAATGATGAAGCTCTTCTTCAAGTGTGATCATTTCCGGCTGATCTTCCTGGGCAAAGACGAGCTTGAGGTTCCGGTCAGACACATGCTCCTGTCGCCAGGTCAAGGCGATGGATTTGCATAGTCTCCATGGGTAGTAGGAGCTCTTGGCAGTTTCAATGCCTTGAATCCAAGTATGACTGTGGCCTCCAGGACATACCTTACATTTGAACTTGCTGTGGAATTGCTCATTGGTGGTCATGACACGCCACTGCTTCTTGACGAAGCCACCGGATTCATCAGAAGCTCGAAGCCCACAGTTGCAGCCGTCAATCCGGCATGGAAGCCATTCACGACCGTGATTGGCCAGGATCTTGTGGATGTACTCGATGGGGTGTTGGTTCCAGCCTTCACAGGGCCAGGGCCATTCAAAGTAGATGTCCACCTCCTCATCCTCGTTGAGGATCTCCTCGATGAAGTGAGCCGCCATCCATAGCATCCTTCTCTCACGCCGGCGGTACTTTTCCAGTTGGGCACGACCTTCTTCGGTCCGGTAGTTGAGATGTGACCACCGACACCATTTCGTGCATGGGAGGCTGAACCAAAGTCGCCTGGGTCGGTGTTGGCGACGAAGGACTTTCAAATGGTCCCAGGTGGATCTCTGGTAGATGTCATAGCCAGTGGAGAGGTTGATCCTTCTGGGATTCAGTCCGTGTTGGCTGCAGGCCTCACTGAGCCAAGAGTGAGGTGCACAGGCCACCTCCCAAACGCCGTCCCTTCCATCCATCAGGAAGTTCATAGTTGTGGATGCCATAGCGGTCATCAATGTTGTAGCCATGAGGAGCAGCCGCGCAGCCATAGATCTCGGCAGGGGCGATGTGGTATTCGAGGATGTGGTCATGCCTCGCTCTCATAGGCCTTTGGAAGGTCGGTGAGTGTGCCCTCCTGGTCGCACTCCATTCGGCGCTCCTCCAGCAGCTTCATGAGTTGCTGCATCTCCTCCTCCTTCAGCAGGTCCTCCAAGTCGAGCTCCCGGAATGTCTTCTTCCGAGGATCCTTGTGCGGGCTCGGTGGTGTGGTCGGTACCACGTCCCAGCTCGAGGTCAAACTTGACGGAGCGGCTTTGCTTTTGGATGCACCCTTGGACGGTGGAGCAGTCTTGTAGCCCTTGATGTCCTTCTCGCGCTCCTTTTCCTTGTCCAGGGCAATCATCTGACGTCCGATCAGGGTGGACAGGGTCTCCTCGGCATCGATAGCCTTCTCCATGGCCAGGCAAATTGCGGCAGATGGTCGTGCCGAGTTCATCCTTTCCTTCAGGGTCGTCAGCATCCGGAGGATCATCGTGGGGTTCTGCACCTTGGAGCTCTGCCCATGGGATCCGTGTCGAGGAACATAGCGCAGCCTCAGGTTGCACGTGGCACAGTGCAGGTACTTGGCATGAGGGTTGGCCTTCCAGGTGTCCTCGAGGTGCTCCCCGTAGCATGGCCATTGATCCGGACTCCACCTCGGATCGCGATTGTCCGGTCCCACTGCACGGCCCTCGTCGAAAGGTCGAGGCTCCTGCTTGTCCGGGCTGCCCGTCAGGCGCTCCCGGAGATCGGCTGTGCCGCCGCGTATGTCCCAAATCAGGTTCCCCTCCTTCTCTGTGAGAGCAGCTCGGTTGCGGGACATGGCAAGAGCGATCAGGGGACGTCGAATTGAAAGGCTGGACCAAGTCAGTCCGGCTCATTTGAGTCGTGGGCTGCAGCGCCGAACATTGATGATGGATGTGTTCATGGAGTGTCAACAGATGTCGACGAGATTGTTCGATTCGATCATGGTTCCGAGGTCTGGTGTCCATTGAAGTGGTCATGAACTCCAAGGGCATGAACTGAATGAAGTGATTCTCAAAAACCGCATGCTCTTCAACCACATAGACCTGGGGGTGTCCTTCATGGCATTCATGTCCCCGTGTGAGGAAATAGACAATGTCCATCACATAGTGTCCTTTGGGGTTCACCTCCAGTTGATAGATCTCAGGTTGTGGTTCATGAGAGTCCAAGGCAAGTCCAGTGGCGAAATCGATGACCATCGAAGAACGTGCTCCCGACAAATGGTCCATTCCGATCAACACCGGCACCATGGATGAGGGCTTGAACGATGGATCGTGCATGTCCGACGGATTTGGTAGTGCATATAGTTGAAAATGATGTGGTCTACCCGAAACGGACGATGTCATCGAGACACGATACAAAGCCCTTCCCCACTTGCCGTTCCCGAATCGAAAGTGCGGCCTATCATCCTTGCGGACTTGAATCACTGCCTTGCTGTCCTTGGCAAGGATTGCAGAAACCAAGTTCTCTACGGCCAATTGGGGACCGGCAGATGCCGTCGCCCCGCAATCCAGCAAACCATGTGTTGCCGGCAAAGAAGGCGCAGGCTGTGGCGCTCCGGCCTCTTGGGCCTGCATCTCAAGGCCACCAAAGAAGACTTCAGAGTTGTAGGCATTGACAGGGGGTCGCGGGCTCGGACCTTTGCCTTTGAAGCGTGTCGAACTGCCCTTGCCTTTGTGCCAGGCTTGGGCTTCCATCCAGTGAGATTGTTTTCCTTTCTTGCCACCCTTCTTGCCCATCATGAAGTCCTCCATCATGTACGGGTCATACTCCGTCATGTAGTGGTGTTTGAACTTTCCTTTTCCCTTGAAAGGACCAGGATGTCGACGGTCGGGGCACTCGCGAGACAGGTGAGGTCCATTGCAAATGAAACAGGGGCCACGGCCTTTTCCCGATGTGGGAGCAGCATGTCCAAAGCCGCGATCACGTCGAAGGGCCGCCGTGGCCTTCTGGGCATCTGCCCAAGATCGTTGAGCTTCCAAGGCCAGAGATTCGGCCATCTTCTCGGCTTTCTGGGCCTCCTTGATCTCATCATCGTCCTCGGCCTGGTCGACCTTGTCATCCACAGTCTCGTGGGCATAGTTGACCTCAGACCAATCCCATGAGGGCCAATCATCACCGTGCCATTCAGCTTGAAGGGCATCCCATGACCAATCATCATGATGGGGTTCAGGATCTTCTACCACGGCCATCTCGTGCCAGTTGGAGACGTGCGACACCTGAGCTCGAGCACCAATGAACTGCTCGTCCCAAAGAGTCTGCAAGGCACGGCTCACCTCCTCAAAGTCCAAGGAGCCATGGGTTGCTGAAAGGATGTCACGACGCTCCTCAGCTGACAGTCCGGCCGACTGGAGAAGCCGAAACCCACGAAGGACTCCAAGCACGAAGGAGTCAGCGAAGCTCAGATCTGACAGGTCATCAGCGAGGCCAGATTGAGAGGGTTGCACTCCAGCTGAACGTCGGCTGGGCGAAATGTCCTGTGGAACTCGATGATATCCACCATGTTGAGGTGAACCACTTTCAGCAGCAGCTCTGGTCGAAGCGCTCGGCAGGGATGTTGGTTGAGCCGTCGGTGCATTGGGGTCGAAGTCACCCTCCTCAGGCTGTTCAACGTTCTCATCGTCGAGCGGCCACTCACCCCAAGCATGCCATGAGGACCAGTCATAGTCCTGGTTATAGTCATAGCCGTCCTCGTAGTCAGGCTCTTCTGGAGGCAAACCAAAGTCCTTATCCTCCTGCTTCACACCTCTCTTCTCCTCAGCCAATCTCACCAAGGCCTCAACGAACTCGCTGTAGCCAAGAGCCTCTCGGACGAGGAAAGACGTCATCGCCTCGTGAGGCTTTCGTTGGAAGCCAAAGTATTGACCACAAATGGCCGAGGCATTTGGGATCGATCTCCTCACAAGCGGGGAGGCAGCTAGCCTCTGCAGGAGAACCTTCGTGCCGTCATACTCGTCCAGGGCCATGTCGCTCCATGACATCGCAAGCAGCCTTGCTGGTCCCGTCAGGCGACTCAGCAACTTGGTAGCGACATATCGCCGCTTGGAGATGGGCGTAGCCCTGAAGTACCATGAAACCTCCCGCGTGTAGCGGCGCCAGCTTTTGGCAGAGCCGTCCCAGGAAGGGACAGAGAAAGCATCCTTGTCGGCCATCTTGACCAAACTCCAGGGGGAAAATCTTCAGCAAAAAGGGCCTTGCTCAGCAAGGTCAGGAGAAATGCAAAAAAGGGGCAGCAGCTAGCCACTCAACCAGTCTCTGCGAAGACCTTCTTGAACTTGTTCAGGATGTAGTGGCGAAAGCTGCAGAGGTCGCTGGAGCAACGTGCTCCGCTACCATGTAGCGGGTGGAGCACAAGTGGAGCGTATCGAGGGGCTCAAACACAAAGTACGAACGAAGTCCGGACAGCCGCAATGGCTCAGCTTTTCTACCGACCGCAGTGGTCGAGTCAGTGCTCGAAAGGGGCCCCTGGATTCGGGCCAAGTGGCATGGAAAAACATGGATGCAACAAAAGCTCAAGCTCAAGGCCATGGAACCTGCAGAATGTTATGGAATGTTAGGGTTGCCCGAAAGATTCTCACAGGGCACGTCGTTGCCCAACCAAGCAAGCGCCAGTTCCAAAGTCGCCAGGGACTGCGAGATACAGCCTTGCTTGCAAGCTTGTATGATCTCTTGTAGTGCACGTGTCAATGCAGCCCCAAGCAAGATCTGCAAAATCCACTAAGGCATCTGGCTCGACGGAAGGGCTTCTCTTTTGTTTCCACCGAATCCGAAATGAAGAAAATCTCCTGCAATCATGGAGCAAAGAGTGCCAAGAAGCCCTTCCTCGTCTTGTACACCAAAAGTGGCCTCGGTCACAACCTCCTGAGAGGTGAAGCAAGCGACAGTGTTGCCTGAGCAACACCGGCAAATTCAGTCGCTCGAAGTGCCCGCAACTGTTTGTACTTGTTCTTTTACATGTACAAAAAACATATTTATGAAGTTCACCACAGAATTGTTGAACACATTCGTCAATCGCAACTTCTGAAGACTTGGCGACAGGAGAAGATCGGCGAACATATTCAACGGAGTCAAGGCTGTGGCACGGGCAGCAGCAGCATGTGGCGACCTTGGTCTCAATCTCTACAAAACACATATCAAAATGCAAACTATGTATGAAAAAAATAAATACATTGAAGGCACAGTAGTCATCAGAATCACCAAATATTTCGATTCCCGATTCTCCACCTCAAGGCCACCGTATGTCCACTTGCCAATGACAAGAAGCCCTTCAATACATCTCAGCATCTTACCCCTCCAGCACAGCAGGAGCCCTCCCGGAGGTCCTTGTCGGATCCATAAGTTCTGCAAAAACTATAAAATGTTCAATTGCTTTCTGGGTCGATATACGGCACTGGAGTCACTGGAGCATTGTATAAAGACAAAAAATGACACAAGTCTGAAGATGTCTGAAGTGACTTCTGAAAGTCTTGGTCAGTCAAAAGTCTTGCTCAATAACTGGTCAACCCGGGGTTTGTGTGTTGAGCTTTTTGTTCCAACGATCGTCGGCATTGCAGTGCACCGTGCCCCTTTTACTTTTACAAGGACATGCCATGCAACCAAAAAAGACACAAGCCATATTTGGTTGCTGTCTTGAAAGGGAATGCGAGCAAACAACACACTGCAGGCTGAAAAACATTGCCTTTCAGCTGTGGCTATATAGGAAACCCTGTCTCTTCCTGTTCTACCTTGGTGTAGTACATGACATGTGCGCACCACGCACCGATATGCAGGTGTCTTACCCTCGTGAACCCGGTATGTTGATCTGCAGTATTGCCTCAGACTGCCTCACGCAAATCCGGTCCCGCAGCGATCTCTCCCCGGCTTCCACGATCTTCATCCTCTCCTTTCGCAAACAAAAAGAAACCATCCAAAGCACTGCGACTGGATGTCTGCCGAAGCACTGCGAGCATGCTAACAGAGAGAGAGAGAGAGAAGAGAGAGGAGAGCTCAGAAGCAACGTTGGACACAAATGCTAGGAATTTGGAGCTGCTAGGTTAGTGAGTAAGAGGAACTATTTTGGGCCGGTTTTCTCCCTGAAATCAATTCTTTGTTGTTCGTATATTATTTGATTGCGGTCTTTCTGGGGTGTGGGACGTCAAAAACACCAAACATATCCAAACATATACAGTACAGTGTGCAGTGAAAGCTGAGCACCAGCAAAGGTACAAAAAGTCCAATGCCCTGAGAAAGGCAACTTGAAGAGTTTTTTGTGGACCCGGACTGGGTCCTCAGAATACTAAGGACGCTACTAGGGGAAGGCCATCGCTATTAGGTTGGACGCCATTTCTAGTAGGTTCTTTTTGCTATTAGGTTGGAGGCAATCGCTACTAGTAGCAAGAAGTTAGTAGGTTGGAGGCACTACCCGGGCAGAACGGTACAGTTTTGATAACTGCGCCGCAGGCTTCTGGTCCTGTGTATCCCCATCGCAAGGCGCATGAGGAACTATGCGATAGGGCACAAAGGTCTCTGTCTCGACCTGCGCTTCTGTAGCGTAGGGAAAGCCGTTTGTTGCAACATTGTACTAGCGTACTCGCGTGTCACCCTCTATGCCACCTTGTGGCACTGCACGCCCACCACAGTAGCCTCACAGTTCTTTGCGCAAAGAAACCTCAGAGCAAAACGACACACATTTATCATCCCCTTTGCAGCTAATTGGAAACTCAGAAACAAACCTGACTCTGAGGTCTCCAGCCTGTCCATCTTCCAAAAATATTCAAGAAACGCAGGAACGTTTTTGAATGTTTTTGATGTTCTTGCCGTTTCCAAAGAACTGCCAGCCTCCTGCTTCTTGAAAAGTGAAGCCTCCACAAAAAAATAGAACAGCACACCAGTCTGTGTCCTAGCCGCTCGATTCTGAAGCCGACTGAACTCGAGCGATTCCCACCTTGGCTTCTGCCAAGGTACCATTAAAGCCTTGCCGTCCGTAGAAGAAACCATCCTGCAATTGAAACTAATATGGGCCAGGAAAACATCAACCCTCGAAGAACACACTCTGAAACAGAAGGGACCTGGCAATTGGCAAAAAAAGGTATCCCAGCAACATGCACCTAAGGCTACAAAGGGTTTCGTCGAGATTGATCGCAAAATGGACACCGCATGGAATCAGCGAAGCATTGATCAAACCCGAACCAACTATATAGTCAAAACTCAAAACTATTCCTAATAGATAAGCCTGGGCAAAGGACAGTCTCCGGAAGCTGCGAAGCGGCTGACTCAAATGAGCGGAAGTGAACCAACATGTCCTGGTCTGAGGTTGAGTGCGGACGGGCAATGAGCACAAAAACAAGTACAAGGGTCGAGTCAAGTCAGAGTCGTTCCCAAGTGAAGCGTACACACTTGGGAAACAAGGGACATTCACAGTGAAACTTGTGAAGCATACATGAACTCTTGGAAAAGAAATTTTGCTGCCATAGCCAGCCTGTGACAATCCAAAAGCGCCCAAAGTAACCCGAGAACAGGGAGTCGTCTTTGTTCCCAGGATTAGCCCCCTGCAACTGTTAAGATTTTGCAAGATTCCGCTCAGATCTGAGGACATATTGGAATGGATGGAAACTAGGAGCACAGCGTTGGCAAGGGTGGGTTCAGGGGCCTCTGTTGCCTGGCACATTTGCGCAAACGGATTCCAAAATAGAACTGAATTTGGCATAATAACCGGAGCGCACAAATAGATACATAATAGGTACGTATATAATCCCTACCTAAAAGTATGTAAGTCACAATATCTGGGGGGCATGGATATTGAACCTCAAAATGTAGGCTGACATTTTAGTTCTAGTGTGAAAATGCACAACAGCTTAGCTAACATTTCACAAAACAGTTGCAGAACATGTACAGAACGTTTTTTCATGACTCCACAAACTGCAAGTTGCTAAAGCTGGGAAACGCTAAGCATCAATGCTGTCTTGTCAAACCGTGGCAAAACTACATCCAACAGCTATGAAACTTTGAAGGCGCGATGGAAAAATGTAACTTACCACGTCAAACGTTCTAAGTTACATTTTCCCCACGCCAGCCACCTCCTTCCCCCGTGGTGATTTCCCGGGCATTCCCCAACAACAACACACAAAGCCCCCGTGCACTCTTGAGGAGCTCCCAGGAACATGCAAGCCAAAAAACTTGAAGGGAAGCCAGGAATATGCTCCCTACGTTGCTACCTCTTGTCAAGAACGTGGGAGAAGTCAACATGCCTTCATAGGGCCCCTCAAAATTTTGTAGATTGGTCCCCGGATTGTACCTAAGGGGGGTAAGGGTTGTATATGTATATCTATACTACACCCCCGCCCCATGGACCTGTGTTTTTCGATGCGAATGCCCAGCAGCAGGGCACTGGAGTTTCACATCACAGTGTGGGTTTGTGGTGAGTGTGGGCGCTGTAAACTTTACTTCGCGATCCGGGACCTTTTCTGTGAACCTGCCAGAGTCCATGTCTCTGACTCTCCCAACACCCTGGCGTGAAGTCGTGTCCTTGCTGCACCATATGAGCGGTGTTCAAAATTGTGTTGTCTTTTCCTGCCGAGAAATCAAACCTTACGGTAGGCCTTACGCAAAGCTTACGTTCTTCTATCTTTTGCTATCTTTTGCTTACGGTGACACATGTATGCATGGCTATTCTTACGTTGTGCTTACGGCGAAGGTATGCAAGTCCACTATGGTCACATATGAAATTTTTTGCAAAACAAGAAAGGACACATCAACAAGTGTCGCTTCCGGCAGCCTTCCGGCATCGTTCAAGTCTGCACATCCTTACGGCAAACCTTACGGAGACCTTACAAACATCAGCTAAAATCACTATGTTCACTGATTTTTCGCCGGTCCCTGACTAAAAAGAAAGGGTGAATTTAGAACGCTGCTCATATCACTTTTCGCCTTCACGATCAACCCGCCTAAGTCTACAAAGGGAGGAGCGGGGCGGTCTTTACATGTCTACTGTCTACGAGACTACGAGGCCACTACGAGGGGTCAGCATAATGAAACCTGACGGCGGCTGGCGGCTCCGTAGTCTCTTGACGTCCTCTTCAGCAGGGTGGTGATAACAGCAGTTCTCAACACGCATGCCAAGAGTTGAGGGGGTACTGAGGCCGGTATTGGTGCAAATGCGTCGTGCACTATGGTCCCCTTTTTGACTTGCCTTGTGACACTCCTGAACCAGCAGCGCTTCGCGCGTCTTACAGCCTGATTCAAATCAAGTTGACGGAATTTCTTCCCACGCAACACGCCTCCAACGGCGCGATTTGGACAACTTTCACAACAAACCAAAGCAACGATGTCGCGTGCAATTGACGGCGCTGGCAGCGCAACATTATACGCACCATTACGCAGTTATCATAGTGATAACGTTTTTTGCAGAAACGGCGCCCGAAGCATGTCATTGGATTCTCTAGTGCAACATTCCTTCTGCACCATGCTCATCTCCAAGCCCTCTTCACACTGCGCTCTTCACCTGCACTCTCTCTCAGCTCTCTCTCTTCCTCTGGCCCTCTTTGTCTTCACGTGGCGCTGCGTTGGTCTTTCGGTTTGTTCCACCTCTAGTCACTAGTTTCCTCGTCCTCTTGCTTTCCATTCAACCTGGCGCCGTCTTGCCGGCTTGGGAATCTGGGGTACATGGAAGCCAGGAGCCAGCGCCGTTGTATGCCACTGTAGCACCTGGCAACTGCCATGCCAATGTAGGTCCAAGGTATGCCTTTCGCAGAAATGAAGTTGAACTGGAGGACTCAACTGCACCTCTTGCGGTGGGAACCGCAACGTCTCTCTGCAAAACGGCATTTCTTTTCTATGCTATTGAATTGCTTATATATGTATATTGATGTAGAGCACACTCTCACCGAAGGCTCTATGCAGCAGGTCCAAGCAAAGCTGACCAAATGAATGAAACCTAAAAAACCAGCAGTCACCAAACCCTATTCTGTTGGCCCCCAGTCACACAAACACAGTGGCAATGGCTTTCAGGGTGAACTCAGCGGTCTAGGCCCCACCTTATTCCTTGAGCACACACCCCACGGAGTGTTTCAGCCATTCGGCTTCCCTCCAATGTTCCCGTGATCACACAGATATATGTTTATAGAGGTATTGCCATAGCTTCAAAAAAACAAGATGGAACCCACGAACCCGAATGCAAACACGTTCAAAAAACTACATATGTCCAAATGACACTCTTGTAGGACACTCTTGTGGGACACTCTCGTGGGTCACTCTTGTAGGAAACTCTTGTGGGACACTCTTACGGGACACTCTTGTGGGACACTCTTGTGGGACACTCTAGTAGGAAACTCTTGTGGGACACTCTTGTAGGACACTCTTGTGGGATACTCCTGTAGGACACTCTTGTGGGACACTCTTGTGGGGCACTCTTGTGGGACACCTTTGTAGGAAGCTCTTGTGGGACACTCTTGTAGGACACTCTTGTGGGACACTGTTGCGGGACACTCTTGTGGGACACTCTTAAGGGACACTCTTGTGAGACACTCTTGCGGGACACTGTTGCGGGACACTCTTGTGGGACACTCCTGTGGGACACTCTTGTGGGACACTCTTGTAGGGCACTCTTGTTGGACACTCTTGTGGGACACTCTTGTAGGAAAGTCTTGTGGGACACTCTTGTAAAACACCTCTGTAGGACACTCTTGTGGGATACTCTTGTGGGACACTCTTGTGGGACACTCTTGTGGGACACACTCTTGTGGGACACTGTTGCGGGACACTCTTGTGGGACACTCTTAAGGGACACTCTTGTGAGACACTCTTGCGGGACACTGTTGCGGGACACTCTTGTGGGACACTCCTGTGGGACACTCATTTGGGACACTCTTGCGGGACACTCT